TTATCATTTATTTTCTTCTCTCTACCTCTATCATATCCAAACAAGAATAATTTCATTTATTTTATTTTCTCTCATACACACACATACACACACACATATATATATATTCAAACATAAATAGAGATTATTGCTATCATTTTTTTTCTCTCATAGTTATTATCATTTTATTTCTTTTCTCTTTTGTGCATCCAAACAGAGCATAAGAGTTGTGCCAAGCACAATTTTGATTGTACAAGCACAACCTTTAAATGAAACCTACAAATTAAATTAAACTGTTCTGGAATAATCGCGACTGCACTTAATATTTTTTGAATCCAAATATAAGTGATGAATTAAATATATTTAAAACAAAAAAGAGAAAAACCAGGGTACCCTTTTGGCTGTAGACTGGAACCCCCCTGGAGGAGACAATAAGAGGTTACAGCGGGTTTCTTTAGATGTGATGATATTGACCACAACTCCACTTTTCCCCTAGGACGGCTTATTAGGGGTTTCTCCTACTTTTTCTAAATCTTGGTCTCACTCCACTTTCTCTTTACTCTCACAATCCATCACTCTCAAAATATTATTACTTTAAAGCCCTTTAACATTGCCTAAGCCGAAGTAGATCCACACCAACAACAACAAGATCACTAGACCAATCCCAAATTCCCATCCCCAATCCCCCCTCTTTCTCTCTCTAGAACCATACGATCTAGAGAGAGAGAAAAACAAAGAGAGATTCATTCCAGTTGTATCTTGTTGCTTTTGAGGAATGTTTGTATTTTTATGTGTTACCAACACTGTTCGTGACTTGTGTGTGTGATAATAATTTTATACCCACCCTTGTTTTAGTTCAGTAATCCATTTGCATGCATGCATGGAACTTAAGACCCTCTGAGAAGTACACGTGGCACGTGGATTAGTGGTAATGATTGAATTTTCTTTTAGGTTAGTGTACAAGCCACAGATACGATCTGTGTAACCCTTTGGAACTTGGATTCAATGGGTCCCACCAAATCAAACGAGCCACATACCATCATCATTGTTCACCATCTAACAATGTGTGTGTGTGTGTGTATATATAGATGTATAATTACGATGAGAATTGATTATATTCGTGGGTTTAGATGATTAAGCAAATCCCAGAGTTTCATTAAAAAGAGTATAAACAGATCCGTATTAATTATTAGGATTTTATAGACAATAGAAACGAAAAAAATTCTCATCACCATCCCATTTAGAGCGTGCTTTACACGTTTTTGCATTTCAAAGAAAAGCCCCATGTGAAAATGTTAATAATACACGTAATCAAAGCCCTTTATTGTAAAAAAAATAAAAGCTAGTTTGAAGTTTGATTAAAGGATTACTTCATTAAACCATCCTATACCTTCTCTTTTCTTTTCTTTTTTCTTTTTTCTTTTGTCACTTTAGTCCATTGTACTTCTAGTTACCAAAATACCCATTCTCACTAGTTTTTAGTTAATGTTAAACTCTCAAAACTTAATCAGGTATGAACTTAGCACATATTTGGGATTGCCCTGAATTTTTTTTTTACTATTATGTTCCATTATATTTGTCATTTTGATATATATACTTATAAAATATTACCATTGCTACCTGAAATTATTTAAAAAAAAATCATTATTGCCCCCCTCACATGAGTTTCTAGGTCATCCTGCTTATAATGACTAAAATATCCTTGCAATTTAAAGACATATAAAAATATTTTAACACTAAAGAAGGGCATTTTAGTAATTTTAGTTAGAAACTAAAAACTAGTGACAATTTGTCTTAATATGAAAAATTTTGTTAATTTGCGAGGTGGTTTACAAGTAGAATGGGGAGGTAGGTAAAATGTTTGAATGAAATTAGAGGAGCTTTTGTGGAGGAGGTGTAGGTCACGCACTTTGAAGTCGCGTGGGGATGTGAACGGCTCATGTGGTAATACAATGCGACGCTCATATTCTTGGGTTAATCGCAAATTTTGTTCGTAGTTTACAAAGCTAATAGTGAGCATCTTTTGGAAAGCGGTGGTCGTCCCGTTTGTCCAACTCTGGACACCAATCTCTAGACGATCTGATTCTCTCCCCCTCTCTCTCTCTCTGTACCCCTCCCTCTCTCTCTCTCACACACATACACACACAGTATGTTTGTCATTTGAATCTTTTGATCGAATCCAACGATATTCCAGAGGAGTTTGTAGGGTCACTTTTGCTGTTCCTATAGATACACATATATATACAATATATAAATGTGTATACATGATTTTTCTTGTTTTTTGAATTTTTATTTAACACTTTTCTTTTCCGAGTTACTATCTTTGACTCGATATTTCTCAAAACCACAAGAACATTTGTTGCTTTGATGATTGCAGGGTATCCATTTTGATGATGTCCCATGTCTTTATCTCTCTTTCCACTTTTCTCTCTCTCTCTCTCTCTCTCCAAACTCTACTTATTTTCTCTCTCTATAATCTTCTCCTACTATTACTTGTCGTAGTAGCCCCTTATCAAAGCATTGTAGGTTTTGGATTCGCAACATGAGGTGATTATCATGACGAGAAGACCATGTTTGGTTCACGTGATTTCAAAGTACGACCACTGGTTGTTGTAGTAAGCTGAAAACTGCTTGTTTGTTGAGTGTGATATATATATATATATATATATAATTATTATATTAAATTATTGATGGATGGATTGGACGGCCTATAACAACTAACGGAGTGGTAGAAGACTGAGGGGTGGTCATTGTTCTGTTGAATAAACTATAAACGAGAATAATCTCCATACCCACCCCCACATTTCGAGCGTTGGACACACGCGCTCAATATAGGATTAATATGACAATTTTTTTTTTTTTATAAAAAAAACAATTTTAGAAATTAGAGCAAAAACAAAAATCAATCCCTACTTCAATTTATCAATCTTATTCTAATTTGACTAATTTATTTTAACATGATTCAATTACAATTTACACCATGACATATTTGATGTTAGAAGAACGTATCTCTTGTTTCCAAACTTATACGGAATTTGGAAGTAATCTTTAGAAGTTGAAATAATTAATATTATAGTATATTTGGTATAGAACTGAAAATAGGGAATTTAAGTGGTTAGTATTCATTTGAAATAAAAAGAAAGATGATGATGCTGATCTTTGAAAAACAATAGCAATTTCGCAAAATATTACGTGGTATACTAATTTCTTGATCTGAAATAAAATAAGTCTTGTGAAAAAACACAGTTTAATTCAGTCCAACAATTCAAAGCGAGCATAGTAATAGTCACCACATTATAGTGAATAAAGTACTATGATGTACTTAGAGCGGGATCCACATGATTTTCACTTTTTACCTAATAATTGTACCTTAAAATTGATTTTATTTCAAAGTCTAATGATAAGTATTCAAAGGTGTATCTGACTTTTACATAAGTAGGAATAAAAACAAGATGATATTATTTAATAAGAAATGCAGCAGTCGGACACATAGACTAATTTATGTGAATAAGGACTGATATCATCATGACATTATGAATATTAATGATATTATAATAATTTCAGTCCTCATTCATATAAATCAATAAAATTTTTATAATTTTCGAACTCTAAATCATTATTAACTTCAAAATAGTCATTCTACAACTAAAATGTAAAAAAAAAAAATTAAAAAAATAAAAAATAAAAAATAATGTAGATAGGAGCGTGAAGGCACGTGATGTGAGGGAGAGTGAGAGAGGAAGTAGGGTATTCCATTTTCCTTGGGAGGGTGGCAGTTGACAGAGAGGGGGGGCAGACATACGGATACGGACAGAGGTTTTTGATGGGTGTTGGGTTAGGAGAAGAGGACTCTATCAATGCCACCTCGTGATCGGAGAAGGCAGATCCATGGAAGACTGTTCCCGCTAGTCACGTGGGTTCTTTTGACTACCCAATGACCAACCCATCTGCCTCTCTGACCCTCTCCTCCCCCCATCTCACATTGTTACAAGAGCCCCCCCACCACTTTCTCTCTCTTCATATATATTCTCACATCATTTATCTACACTATTCTCACAATTGCTCGTGTGTCTATATTGATTTTTTACTTTTACCGAATATTTTTAAAATTATTTTATAAAATTCGGACACTCTAACTCCCTAAAATAAAAAAACCTATCCAAATTATCTACTACGACATTTTAAAGAATGATCATGATTACTCATTCATGTGATCGATTGTACATGATAACACACTTTCTCTTTTTGAAAGAGTACTTCAGTTTCTATAGTCACTTATAATAAATAGAGTCTAATAAAAATTTGTCGGTAAGCAAGTATATCATTTTCTTCCTTAATTGAAATATAGCAGAGATGAATAGATTTTGAGTAAATTTTACTTACATTTCTCGAGACTTACCAATATTTCACATGAACTGATGAACTCCTTCCATACTTTATAATCTCACTTACCTTTCTCGTTTACGACTTTTTTACCATTTTGTTCACAAAATATTTGTTGTTATCTGGGCCAAATGGTCACATAGGAGAAATATAACATAAATTAAATCCTAAGAAGAGATAAGTGAAACTATAAAACATAAAAGGAATTCATATATGATATTGACAAACCTCAAAGAAAATAGGTAAAATTTATCATAAATTTTTTACTATAAAAAACTCTTCTTGTATCTTGTGTCTGTTCTGTGTTTACATTAATAACACAACTACTTTATACTATAAACATAACTTGTTAATACAACAACTTATTCACAATTTACTGATCTACAAGAGTGTCACAAAATGAAATAGGGAAACATTAGAGTATCTAAGTCGGTCTAACCAATTAACACGTCACTTCACTTGCCCATCAAACAATTAACACCACACACACACACACTTTGCGTGTATATGTGTGTGTGTGTGTATATAATATGTGTGATGTGCTTTGGGGGCCCTCACTGTCTGTCACTTTATATAGCCATATATGTTGCATTTGACGACAACGTAAAACTGCAGGATGCTGACTAGTATTTCGCCATTTTACTAGGCTTATAAAGCTACCAGACAACACCCTCCTCTCTCAGCCCATTGTACACTCAAAAAAGCTCTCTCTCCCAAGTCCATATCTCTATTCAAACCTTATATTATTACATATCGCTCTCAGTTTACTATTTGCTCGCTCGTACCTATCTCCCTCCTCTGTACTCACTCTCTCACTCCTTTTAACTGCATACAAACCACTCACCACCATCTCCATCCCAACTACTTCAACTATATTTTCTCTCACTACCCATTTCATCTTCTCTCAATTTCAAGCAATATAGAGAGAGAAAGTTTGATCGAGAAGGGATGCACAGGTGCAGTAGTTCTTCTCATGGCGGCAACATGGTGGGACCATGTGGATGTGGTTTGTATCACAGTCCAACCAATTGTTTCTCAATGCTGTTCTCCATGCCTCATGAAGAGAATATCTACCCATTTACAAGCTCCCCTTCTTCTTCTTCTCCTTCTGTTGATTGTACTCTTTCGCTCGGAACTCCGTCGACTCGTTTAACCACCAATGACAATGATAACAAACGCTCTGGCTCTAATTCTTGCATGCCTAACTTTTATTGGGACATTTTACAGTCCAAAACTACCAGTACCACTAATTCACACTCTCCAACTACCCCTCATAAGTCCAGCCGCGGAAGCTGCGGCGGCGGCGGCGGCAGCAACTCCGGTGGTGGCGGCAGCAGCGATCCCCTCCTCGCCCGGCGGTGTGCTAACTGCGACACCACTTCCACACCCCTCTGGAGGAACGGCCCAAGAGGCCCAAAGGTCTGAATTAATTCATTTCTCATTGCATTGTTTATATATATATATATATATATATATATTTTAGTGTTGTACTCGTATTTATATATATATATATATATATTAAATAGTCTTTTGCATGTTATATGCAGGGAATACTATGTTTAAGTGACAAAATTTAAAAAGTAATAAAAATGACTGTAATTATAAGATTTAATATAAATCATTGCATACTGTGATAAATTACCTATATATATACATATTTTTTAATGTTTGGTCACTAAATTATGATTTTTTATTTTTTATTGCAGTCTCTTTGCAATGCTTGTGGAATTCGATTCAAGAAGGAGGAGAGGAGAGCCAATGCAGCTGCAATAGCCGCCAACGGTGGCGGAGCTGCATCAGGAATGATGGAGGCGCAACACATGATGGGACACCACAACAGTTCATGGGTTCACCATTCACAGGCCCAAAAGATGAACTGTCTCTCTCCGGGGATCGGAAACGAGTTCCGGTTCATGGAGGACGACGACCGCGACACCACCGACACCACCACCGGAGGCATTCCGTTCCTCTCTTGGCGCCTTAACGTCCCGGACAGGCCGAGTCTGGTCCATGATTTCACCAGATAAAAAAAGAACTAGTCTAGTGCACAAGCCTTCGGGTCAAGATGTTGGTTGTTTTGGGTTCATCATATTCTTTTCTTGAGGAGTTTCCTTTTGTATCCATCTTACATAGATGGAGTGAAAATGGGATAATTCTATGTTGTTTAGTTGCTTTTCTTTAGTTCTTTAACTTTTCACTTTGCGTATATCTATATATCACCTTTTTCTGCTAGTCTAGTTCACACTTTCTTGTGAGAACATATATATATATATATATACATACTTGTTGTTGGTGGGTAATTTAGGGGAGTTTGAACTCTGATCAATACTGAATCCATGTATTAATTTGTGTTGTGGTGAATTACACAACTGAGAGATAACCCAATACCAATGCACATATCATTCAGGGGCAGAACTGAACTTGTCGTTCAATAATAATGTTAGATCCATATGCTGCAGATCGAAATGGACCATTGTTTTGTATCTTTGGGCACTGACAGATCTGACCCTCCAATGGGTTTAATTTATGTGGCATTTGGTCAAGGTCTTCAAATCTTCACCTTTCCAATGATCAATCTAAATCTTTTTTCTTTTTCTTTTTTGAATTTCTGACAAGATAGCAGGATATATTAAATACTTTGGCTTTTATAATAATATTAATAATAATAAATTCCCAATTTATGGTTGAATTTACCCCAAACAGTAGTGTCAAGTAATGGTGATTAATAATAATAATAATTATTATTATTGGGTAAGTCTTGTTTTGCTTATATTTGTGAGTAGCGCCGTACAAAAGCTATTACGATGATGAAGTTGTAAACAATGCCCTAATAACGTAAATGGGGTGAACAAGTTCACTTCCTCAATTCTTGTGATTAATCAATTTCCCACAACTATTGTCAATTACACATTCACAACCATAAAAATATAAACAGTAAAGTAAAGTAAGTAAAATTTTAGAAATTGATGACACCAGGTTTGAGTGTGGAAACCCTTATTGGAAGAAATCCAACCTGTTAGAATGAGAATCATGGAGATTTTCACAACTGGCCATGAGCGAAATGAACCACTGTCGTTGAAGTAAGTATAATGGAATTTGACTCATGTGCACACACATTCCGCTCTACCAAGTACCAATAGTTCTCTGGTTTAGCCATACCTCCCCCCAAACGCACTAGAGTTCAGGCTTACTTTTTGATCAACAAACATTCATCGAATGCTTTAAGTCCTTTGTAGTGTGATCGTCCCTCCTCTTCCTTGTGAAGGATAGAAGAAAAACCTGTTGAACTGATCAATCTCTATAAACTGGTGTAAACTCTGAAGATTCCGTGTTGATAATAGAACAATGCCCGAAATCACTATTGTGTTTAAGTGTGCGTACTAAAAAAATACACAATCAGATTTTTTTGAAAAATCTCTAAAATAAACTTAAATGTTCATATGTAAAAGATGAAAATCTTGTTATTCCAATTGAAGAAATCCATCTCCACTATAGATAGAGATAGAGTATATATAAATATACCAGGGATCAGGTCCTTGTAATAAGCAAAAAGAGATTTTAAAATCGTGCAAGGATAGCCTTAGGAGTTTTGGGAAAAACAAGAAACTTACAAGTTACCAAAATATGAATTTTCGCACATACAATCGGTTCAATTTTAGAACTGAACTTTACCAAGTTTAGTTTTCATGCAAAAAGTTCAATTGGTTTAGTTTTAAACTCAACCGGTTGGACTTTTACAGAGTGAAGTCAGTATTCATGTACAAAGTTCAACCAATTCAGCGTAAAAACGCAACCGGTTGGACTTGCTTAATGATATTTTAACCGTTACACTCCATCCAACTTTAAATATATTCAGAAGCGTTCCTCACTCACATACACGATACATGTTCTAAATGATATTCGATCTCAACAGATTTAACGGTAAGAAACACTTAGGGATGACAATTTGCTTCATGGGGACGAGTACCCGCCTCGCTTGTTTAAACTGGTTAAAGGATTTGGGCAGGGATGGTTTTAATGGGAATCGTTTAATTTTATTTTGGAATGTGTATTGTTGCCATTATGAAATATTTGTAATTTGAATTTTATGTTAAACTACTATTGATAACACTTTTTTATGTAGGGTTGTATACTTACGTAAATGTGTTTGGGAAAAAAATAAAGAAAAATAAAGAAACATTTGGGAAAAAACGAGACGAGGTGAGTGCCCACGAGTGAAGAAACATAAACGGGGCGGGGATGTGGTGACAGAGCACCCCGTTTAGACGGTTTTGGGTGGAGACATGTATTTTAAATGGAAACGGGGATGAGGAAGGTACGTCCGTCCAGAATTGACCCGGTACCATCCCTAAGCACTTGTGCTTTAACTTTGAAAGACTAAGTCTCAAGATAAATAAAAATACAATCCGATCATCAAGTTTTTATTTCAAAATATGTCAACATGACATACATTCATATCCCACACTATTTACCTTTGCTTGTTCTTATAAACTCATTTGATGTTCTAAGTTTTCAAAATGTAATATTTAAATTCTTGAATGTTGCTAGCTTAATTATTATTATTATTATTTTTGTCTGTTTGTTTTCATTTGCTAGCTAGAATGAGCTAGTCAATTCTTAATCATTATGTACTGTATTATTAAGTGGCTTAGTATCAGCCTCTATTGATGGATTTGATGGGCAGAGATTGAGAGGTACATTGCAGCTTTCCATTATTTTGTCATACTATTCATATTAAAATATATCATAAGAAAAGTTGCAGAGGAACTCTCTTTTTACACATGACTTGTCATATATCCTTTTAATATATTAAGAACCAAATAAATAAATAAAAGAGCAAACAAAGATGAATAGTGTATCTACTTTATACTAAATATAATAATAGGATCATAATTATATAATGACACGTGAGATATGGGAGGGATGTTTTTAACGTTATAAGGAAGTATTGTTCCAAAATAATATACACAAAGTTGAAATTATTATAGTGTTATATTGAGATATTTCATATGATAATAAACTCGATCCTAAACATACTGCATATCATGTAAAGAAATATATATATATACCCTGTTTGTCAAGATTTGATAAGCATAAATAAATAAAAAAATTAAGCAAATAAATTTGAAGTATTAATGAGTCAATTTGGTTTCTGTCGAGTGAGAATTCAAAAGACAAATCAAAGAGAGGAGAAGAAAAAAAAAAAAATGAAACAAATACATTTGATGTATTAATTAGTTACCGTTTGGTTTCATTGTCAAGTGAAAAGGACTGAATTTTTTAATTTTTTTTTTAAGTTATGCACAAGGCATGGAAAGAAAGGAATGGAATTGGAAAATAAAAACCACCCAAATTAGCTCTTTCTCTCTTCCTATTTTTCTTCGTTGGTTTTGGATTCTCAAAGAGATGAAGAGATTTAAAACAAAAACAAAAAATAAAAATTACAAAAATAAAAACGAAAAAGATGTTAGAACTTAATAAATAATTTAATCTGTTTTTAAAAAAATTATTATATGATCTGAATTATTTGTAACCACTAATTAATATGTAAATAAATATATATATAAAACTTAAGCATTGCGTGTCCATTCGGCCCAGATAACAGGATAGGGTCCCATTCCGATTTAAGAATAGGGAGGTGGGTCCTACTCCTACATCCCAATTGATACATCCTGGTAACCATATGGGCCAACAGAGTATCACTAGCGACTGGGGCGACACTAAAGCAGTATAGTCCAATAGGCCCATGAAAAAAGTACGTAATACAGACAAGAAGAGGAAGAATAATTTGAATAAAAGGTATGCCACAAAGAGAGCCACGTAAATTAGCATAGGGTAAAATTATTATAAATAATTTTTTAAATTTAAGTATTATAGGAGTGATGATTTGTAACAAAAAAATAAAAAATAAAAAATTGAATTCTTGTGAACGATGTGATTCATATAAAATAGAATTTAACTTGTTTCTTGTTTCTTTCCTTTAAATTCCATATTTCTAACTCAATAACTCAAAGATGTTTTTGACTTTTGTATTGCGAAAGTTATGATCGTGATACAAATGATAATACTATTGAATTCACCCGTCTTCTAATTGTCAAATGATATGATCTTTTATTTCTAAATAAAAAGTAAAGAGTTCGAGTCTCATTAGAAACATATCTTGACTTATAAGTAATAGATATGATCTCTTTTTCTTAATTGATGCTTCAAGTCTCCTTGCAGAGACTTTGGGTCTCAAATGAGAAGTTGAGAGTTCTCAGTTTGGTTAGAGAAGTTGTGAGTAATGGATTGAAAAAACTAAAATAAATGAGACTATTAACCTTTATAAAAAACCTATACAAATTCTATTTTGTCACCAATCTGAGTCAGGTTGAGCTTGGGGTAGACGAAGGTCGGGTCAGGCTTGACCTTGGACCGAGATTCCAGGCTTGACCTTGGACCGAGATTCCAATGTCTCGTAATATTGAGTATGTCGTGTAAATCATATTATTAGTATATTCAAAGATAATGCATTATTTTTTAAAAAAATTTGGGCCAATTTATAAATTTATTGATAACTAGATAACGTATTTTGAGCGTGTATACTAACTAAATACTAACATAGTGGTGCCACGCCCAAAATCTAATAGTCCAACACACTGTACTTGCAGTAGATTGTATAACTCATATTAATATTTTTTTAATTTATTTTTTAAAATTGGGCTAATTTGGCATGAAGCCCAAAATTTTCAAGACAAAGCCCATTATCGGCCTTGACCAGAGTTACCTAATAATTGTTTTGGGGCTGGTTGTCCCTTTCTCTTTCTCCCCTCCCGCCATCGTTCTTCTCGCTCCTCTGTTTTTCTCTCTAGGAACCCTAACCAGAGAGTTCGTGCCGAAAGTGAGGAGCGAGTATGGCTTCAGCAGAGGATATGAATCCATTGAGCTTGAAGGTGCGTGAGCTGTTGAAGGAGGCCCAGCTCGACTACTCTGCTTCAACAACTAAGCTCGTAGATGACACCGTTTCGGCCATTAAAGAAGCAATTGATAAAATACCTGAAGACTTAAAGGTTCTCTTTCTTTGTTAAACTTGTGTCTTTCTTTTTGGTTACTGAGAAAATTTTGGAAGAATATTTTTTTTTTTGAAACTTAACTACAGCAATACTAAAAAAGCACCTATTTCAATTGAGTTAATGTACTTATTAGGTTTAGTTGAGTAAATTTTCAATTTTTTATTTTATTTTTCGAGTTGAATTAATATACTTATTGATGTTGAGCTTAGAAGATGTTTGAAAATTAAGCACTGAAATTTTTATGAGCTTAATTTTTTGCAAATCAACATTTTCTTTGATACTAATTTGAATTTTAAGTGTTTAGTGATTAGTGTTATGAAAATTGTATGAACTGAATTTTTCGTAAATCAAGATTTTCTTTGATACTTGTTTGAATTTTAAGTGTTTACTGAATAGTGTTTTGTGATAAGTGAAGTCTCCCTCACTTGAATCTTACTGCGTGGAATTTGTTCACAATTAAACTACATTATTAAGCGCATTTCATTGGATAATTAAGATAATGCAATGAATTGAGTTGTCTAGTTGAGTGAAGTTTCAAAGTTTATTTTCTTTTCTTTTTTCTTTTTTAAGCGATGAATTCATGTATGTTTGCTGTGTTGATATTTGGTAGGTTTCGGCTGATGTGGCACCGGGTTTTGTCAGAGACATTGGGGCGGACAAAGTTGAATTCAAGTTCAAGAAGCCAAAATCTATAGAAATTGGTGGTAGCTATTCAATGCGTTGCATCACAAGGCCGGATGTAAATGTGGATCTTTTTGTTCGAATGCCAAAGGTAACTTTTCAACATGTTAGTATGTTAATGCACACGAACGGTTAAGAATAACAAAAACAGAACACTGTGGTGCAACATGGGGTGTAACTTGTTTTTGTATCGAATATCAATTCAAAGCATTGTTTTAAAGTTTGAAAGTTGAAACAGTGAGTATGAGGTTTAATAGATAAGTTAATGTTGTCAGACCAACATTAATTAATTTTAATTTTTAATTTTTGTAAATAAAATATTGAATCAGCACACGTCTAATCATCCTGTTATCTCCTGCTCGAGCTACTAAGTTGGATGACAACACCGAGTATGAACAGGTGATTGCTTGCAATGATGTTGCAAAAGAGTATTGAACCAGGATATTGGAAGATACACTGATGTCAAATATATTGAACAAATTACATATTGGTTGTTGAATTTGCAAAATGATTGTGGAAGAATGTGATATCTTCAGTCAACGTTGAGTGTCGTGGGCCCTATTTTCCATTATGATATGATGGCATCATGCCAATTTTTACATGATTTATCCTATTTTAATTTTTGGCATGTATGATACACGCCCACTGACCCATGTTTTGAACGACTGTGACATAATTTTTTATAAGATCACAATTGGCTACCACTAAGAGAAGTATCTTTTCAGTACAGAATTTGGAAAATCTGTTGGTCTTGTGGTAATATTTATGGTATCACAGATGGGCTCATTTAGAGTATTGAAGGATCACACAAATTTGGGGTACATGAACTTCCAAACAGTAGTGTTACAGAAACTACTTTATTATTTTTAGATTTTTTTCCTTTCTCATTAGTTTAAGGCTATTTTTTTTTTTTATTTTTTATTTTTTTAAAGATTTATTTGTACACTTGGATTATATAGTTTAATATTGTTGAAATATTTCACCCTGTGGCAGGAATGTTTCCATGAGAAAGATTATTTGAATCATCGATACCATGCTAAAAGATGCCTATATCTCTGCATAATAAAGAAGTATCTAAAATCTTCTTCATTAATTCAAAAGGTTGAATGGTCCACATTTCAGAATGAGGCTAGAAAACCTGTATTGGCTGTCTTTCCAGGTATGGAATTCTGCAACATCATATTCAAATTATGCTTTTCCTAATTTATTGTGTTGAATTTATTATTTTATTATTATTATTATTAGTTAATCTTGTCCTTGTAGCAGCCAATAATACTTGTATGTTCGTTATAACTCTTTTTGCTATTGCAGCCATGAAGCTTGTTGAAGTTCCTGGGTTTTTTGTAAGAATAATTCCCACCGCGACATCCTTGTTTAGTGTTTCGAAGTTGAACTTGAAGCGGAACAATGTCCGGTCTCTAAAGCAAGGTAGAATATTGTTTTCGGTTCTTCGTATGTTTGTGCTTGAACTTTGTGGTAATGTTCTCAACTAAAATATTTATAGAGGAGGGCGTTCTTCAAGCAACACCAAAGTACAATAGTAGCATTTTAGAGGACATGCTCCTAGAAAAATTTTCAGACTTCATCAGAAGAATTTTTCTCGGATGGAAGGAACTAGGAGAGGCTCTAATATTGCTGAAAGTATGATTCTCGACAACTTGGCAATTTTGAATTTGATGCCATAGGTTCATATTGCTAGATGAGAAGAATTTTTTCTCATGATGATGTAGGTATGGGCTCGGCAAAGAAGTTCAATATATGCTCATGATTGCTTAAGTGGATTCCTAATCTCTGTCATAGTAGCATACCTTGCCACAGAATCCAGCAGGAACTGTATTAACAATTCAATGAATGCAATGCAGATATTTCGAGTCACATTGGACTTCATTGGTATGTACAGTTTTCCTTGTTTTTTTGCCTTCATATTTCTGATTTACTTGTGTAGCATACGCTCAATCAATATGTAGATATTGTACACCCCCTAAAATCAATATGAAAGAACCACTTAAGTTTTGCGGAAGATGTTATCTTATTTATTTATTTTTTGATAAGTGAATATATTATCTTATTTATTCTCAAAGGCTATGGATAATGGACACGGAACACTGGCAACAAATGATCATCAAACCATGAAAATGATATTAATAATGTTTTATTGCAGATTGTACAGTTTAAGCACCTAGATGGGATGAAATAATCAAATTCCTTATCTAATGACATTGACTAGGCTGTGAACCTTCACAAGGGCAAGTGATGATTGTCAACTATGAATATATGTCAGTTTCCTTCGTCATGCAAATTAATTGCAGCAATAAAATGGGGGACACATTTTGAATAAGGACCGTGTTGTATTTTAAATCAAAGCTACAGGGGTTTAAACCTTGGTTCATTATTCATCTACGCATTCATATCTTCCTGACATTCTGGAGATGCTGGGACACTGAAACTTTTCTTCTTTTTTAACCAAGAGTGAAATTGATGTACCGTTAAGTTTAGAACCCTGGTATCAAGTTGTTTTTTTCTGAGAGATACCTAACAATGTCATAGACTTTGTCATCTAACACTTGACACATTCATGAATATTGACTGGTAGATTAAGCTCTCTCTGTGATGTGTCAAACTTTCCTTGAAACTAGGGTACTGAACTGCATTTACGTCTTCTCGTTTTTCTCACTGCAAAATTGTTACTGCAGGAGAAGCACAAGCCAGAAGTGGGACATATAATAAATATTAAGATGCTATATCTTATCATGTTGTGGGTTAAATAGAATTTCCCTGCTATTGTGGCAACTACAATATTGTGATTATTCTTTTTCAACTAGTGACTAGATCTTTCATGCTATAAAAAGGTTATAACAACAATTTTTATTACAATTATTTTTTCAGCCACTTCAAAAGTATGGGAGAGTGGGCTTCTTTTTCGGCCTCAAGGCGTACAGACTACTTCAAAAGAGGTGTGTTAATCAATCTAATATTGACTTCTCTCTATCTTTTTTCTTTAATAAGAGAATTCACTAAAGACTGCCGAATAGGTGGCAATTTTGTGTACAGGGGCATCATAAATGTTTTATTTATTTATTTATATTAATTTTTATATAGCTCTGGTTCCACCCCTGAAAAATTTCACTTTCATTCAGTTCTTAAATTGTTTTTTTTTAAAATATTGAGTGCTAGGGAGGAAATCATTGTTACCAAATACGGAAATTGGGACCATTTTTAAAACAAAATTTGATTTTGATGGGAAGGTCAAACCATGTAAGAAGCTTAAAAGTGCTTTCTTTGCTAATATGATATGTTTTCACTTTTGTGAAGTACATCAAAATGTTCTACGGGATTTTCAACTCTTTAGTTCCACAATTGCCACTTACTCTTTTTTTTTTTTTTTTTTTTCTTTCCCACGTGATTTAGCTCTTTCCCGTTTTACACTGTAGCTTGTATCAATATTTCTTCTGAACTTGGAGTGCAGGAAAGGAAGACATATTTACAATCATTTCCAGTAGTTGTATGTGATCCATTTGCTGAATATAATTGGGCATTTCGCATGACAAAGAGTGGTTTTCTAGAGGTAATTTTTGCCAGTACATGGATTTTTTTCTCTGCAAGTTCTGCTCTTGTGACAAATTTCACTAATTTCAAAATTATATATCTTTTTCAAAATCCAGCTCCGGGATGAAGCTGCTTTGACACTTGGTTGCATTAATAAATGTAGAGATGGCGGATTTGATGAACTTTTTATGACCAAGATCGACTTTGCTGCTAAATACGACTATTGCATAAGGTACATTACTTTATTGCATGTCACTGCTGCTCATTGTCATAGAAATGTAAAACTGACAATAATTTGCCTTCATTTTGTTTTAAGATCTCATCAGCTCAATTTGCAATTTATTTCTGAGATTGTGTTTGTGATTCTTACTTGTTTCTTTCTTCATTACTGCTTGGTTTGGTAGTATCAAGTATCAACCAAGTATATTTTAGTCAATATAGACCAAGTGGCATTTTTAAACATCCAAAATGTGCTGATGAACTCTTTTCAGATGCAACAGCTAAGCAAGCTGTCATCATTATCTTAGCCCAAACTCCCAAATAACCATTCTTTTGGCGTTGGTCACTCAAGTTTTTCCCTTCATTTTACTCTATTTTGGACTACTTTTGTGTCGGTTTATGCAATCCATTAGACTGAGTGTAGTGGTCCAAGATTTTGTTTTGTCATTAGTATTGTGAATGGTAATTAGCCGCCATTCTTAAAACTGAGCCTGGTTACCCGTTTTGTTATTGTATATGTTGTCAAGGTTTGTTGTCCCTTACTTCTAGTGAGGGCAATTGCTCCCTCCAATATGAGGTGCTGTGAGGGGGGGTGGTGGGTTGGGGGGGGTTGTGATTCAAGAATCAGTTATCTAATCAAGATATGACTAATTCCTTATTGTCTTTTTGAATGTCCTCATTTTATATTTTCCACATTACGTGTTTTCTGAGAAGAACTTTATATGAAAGTACTTATTTTGTATAATGACCATATAAGCACCTTAAGATGAGCATGAACATCTCTGGAAAGGCTGGAATAGTCCTTGCATGTTATCTATTACTGTCATAATGGTGAAGGCAAATAAAGCTGGCTCAAGTGTTTGTTTTTAAATGTTAGAAAAGGAGATTCAAACCCTAAAGAGAAGAGAAGATTATTTTTGTAAATTCAGCACAATGCTGATGTTTAAGTTTTAACGAGCGTTTGAGTTGTACTGTCTGCCAAGAAGAGTTTCTTCCTTTAACACCACTACAAATGGAACAGAACTTAAATTATTCACCTCACCTCACTCATTAATACATGCTGTTTTTGAGAAGAAGAAAAATAGGAACTTTTAATAAGATTACTTGTTATGCACAGTTAATAAGATTACATATTGAAATTACTATTTAGATATAAAAGTGATTCTCCGTGGGTAAATCTAAAAATGAATCCTAAATGACATCGAGTTTCGCAAGTTTCATGTTAGGACATACTTGGATGGGCAAAAGCTACTTAGTTTAAATCACAATCCACCTTGGAAATTCATAGTTACACAAAATAAAAATATGATTCTATACATTCAGGAAAAAAAATTGTGATTCTATACATAGTAAGTTTATCTAAAAAACTTATGCCAGTTGGGATTTAGAGCCAAATTTGAGCAGTTCAAAGGGATTTGGATAGAGTTTGCCAGCTTTCGTTTCTGCATATTCAATTTTTTTGGAGTTGGAGACTTTATAGAAGAAAATGAATTGACTTGTGGCTCATTCTAGAGACTGGCAGCATATTGAAAATTTTAGGTGTAATTAGGGGTGCAACTTGGTCGGCCAACCTGAATGCAATCTGAGCCCCTTTTTTATCATGGGCTTGGGCAACCATTTTACAGTTAGGGTTAGGCTTGGGTTGAAAAATCTCACCCGAACTCAATTAGGATTGGGCTTGGGTTGATGTGTCAGCAGCCCGGCCTGACACGAACCCAAATCCTAGTTTTGTTTTTCAATTTTTTTTTAATTTTATATATATATATATATATATATATATATATATATATATATTTATAATTTTCCATGATAATTATATTATATATATTTCAAATTATGATTACCCTTTTGACTTATCAAAAAAAAAAAATTATGATCACCCTTTCCCCTTTACTTCCTTTTCTTTAAATATTAATTTATTGTATATTAAAAGTTTGGACAATTAATTGCCTAAGAATTTGTTTTTATGTTTTAGAAAATTACCTTAAGTTTTTAGATTTTTTATGCTTACGAGTAATCTAACTGTTAACCACCATCTACTCTAAAAAGCTTAAGCTATTATAGAGGATATAACTTTAACATTTAAATCCTCCAACACTAACCATAAACCAATCTGAGATAACTTATTTTCAGCTCGATTTTTCTAACTTTAGCTCAATCTAAAAATAAAAATTTGAACGTGGATTGAGCTCAGGTTAGAGAGCTTGGATTGAAAGTTAGGTTGGGTTAGACTTGGGTTGAAGCTTTTATAACTTATGTTTGGCCTAAGTTGAACCCTCAATCGGCTTGAGTTGCACCCCTACTCAATGTCTTATTGATCTTATATATATGTTTTTTTGGGTATAGACACATATGTGTCTGTTTATATACACATTGAGTTTCTGTGTTCCTTGGGTCCTTGGATCTTTCCCATTCACCTTATATACATGTGTATATGTGTGCAATACTGCAAGGTCCTTTATTTTAAAGAACTGAACTGTTGTGAAAAATTGATCCGATTTGACTGGATTAGATACCAACTGGTCAATCATGATCGCTCTCTGGCTAGCTCTCCTATTGGGTTCAACCTGGGCTTGGGCAGCTTTTCTTTTAAAGAAAATTGGGCTAGGGTTGACCGTTCAAACCAGCCCTACCTGTCCGAGTTGCACCCCTAGGTGTAATAGCTATCTCATCGGAGTGATGTCAAAATGGACTACTGGATTTTAAAATTTGGTTCAAAGTTTTGTTATTTATGCACCTGGTCTGCAAACAGGTGGTGTTTGGTCAAGTTCACCGAGCTTAATTTTGAAACTGCAAAAATAAAAAAGGGAACAAGTACATCATTTAAAAAGTGTAGCATTTAAATTCTTACTAACTTGACTGATTGTTGTTGGAAGGTTTAAAGAATTTGAATATTTGAAGATTATGAAAGAGTTTGCATATAATAAAATATGAGGTTTTGCATCGAAATTAGTGATTAAATGCTTCTAATTTTCTCTCCATGATAACTTTTAAGTTTTGCAGGAACACTATTCTTGTCACATGCTTGCATCATGGGTACATTGACTGCATTCTGTTGATTGCATGCTTCTAATTTTCTTAGATTGTTGCTTTTTAATTTTGCGCAGCTGTATATCATTCTTGCCAATTTTTCTTGTTATTTTGCTCTTTTAGATTGAACTTGAAGGGAAACAGTGAAGTTTATGCATTGGGATTTTGCTTGGATGATGAGTGTTGGCGGTTGTATGAGCAGAAGGTGCATTTTCTAATGCATCAAGGATTGGGCGATAGAGCAAAGTTTGTCCGTGTTACCTGGAGTAACACCATTTCAGATTGCAATATCGAAGATGTATGGCATCCAGGCATTGAGTTTCTATATATTTTGTGATACATTGGATCTATATGCTGTCAACTTATTCTACTTAACTTATAATTATAGGGTCTAACAATGTTTGATAGAGAGGCATTGCTCATTGGAATCTCAGTCAGCTCCGTAGAGAATGCTCAGAGAATGGTTGACATTGGTCCAAGTCCTGAGAATAAAGATGAGGTATCTGACTTCTAAATTTGTCTTGTTAGTTCCTATCATGTCTTTTTAATCAAGTTCTAATGTCAAATCATGTTTTGTACTAGGCTCTCAAATTCCGGAAGTTTTGGGGAGATAAGGCAGAGCTTCGAAGGTTTACAGATGGTAGAATTGCGGAAAGTACATGTAAGTTATATATGTATGTGTGCATGCGCGCGCGCACTTAAGTTGGCTACCAGTATTTCAGATTACGCGTTTTAAGATGATTTATGACCCGCATTATCCAAAATTGGTAGATTGGGGATGCAAGGAAATGGAAAGAGAGCGATGGAAGAGACATCTCATCATAAAAAGCATCACTGAGCATGTCTTGTTACGGCATCTTTCTTTGTCAAAAGGAAATGTTATGCACATTGCAGATCAACTTGATTTTTGTTTGCTTCATGGCACTGGAGGTAACACGTCCTGGTCACTAGTTCCTTTCAATCTTTGGATTCTTCATTTCCGTCTGTTTCAAGTTATTTACTTTAGAATTATTTATGGCAAAATGTACTGATTTTTCAAACTCCATTTTTTTTCCCAATAGATTTTTCAGATCCTATATCTTTTACTGGAAGTTTGCTTGAAGCATTTGAAATTCTTTCAAAACATTTACGCCTTCTCAATGACATTCCTTTGAGGGTATCTAGCGTGCAGCCTCTTGACCCAGGTTTCTTTTCTCAACCTTTTCCCATCTTTTCTTCTATTATATGATTTTGAATTATTTGCTGCCTTATTTGTGTTGAAACATGTCAACTTGAGGCATCATTTTTCATTTCAAACTAATACCTAGTGTTAAATAAAGTTATCTAGTGCGTACAAATTTCTTCTTGATTTTTGATTACTAAGTTCCCATGCTGTTAAGCTTAAGCATATTATAAGTTATAACTGATTGACTTTTTGTGGATACTCTTGGTTGAACTGTAGAAGTGATTAGGTTAAGGGTTGTCATAACTAATTCATACATATATTGGTTAACAGAGATGATAATATATATAATAAAAATGGCGATGATGTGAAAATATCATTTATATTCCTAAAAGTTACCATAGAGGTGGGTTGGTGTTAGGTAGGCAATCCTTTTCCTATTCATGTGGCCACTGCATTCATATGGGGTAAAGGCAAAGATGTTGATGATAAATCAACTCCCAATATTTTTTTTCTTCTAATTACTTGGGATTGGCTACATGAATCCTATTTTTCCATATGATGATAGTGATAATGATTATTCCTAAAATTTGCAATTACTTCTCTGCACTCAGACAAAGCTTATCAAATTATGATATCAATGAACATTAAATCTGAAGCTTATCAAAGCACATTAAATCTTAAGCAGTTCTCCTGATATTGATACAACTCCATACACTAAGTGCGCAACACACACAAACCGGGGGGGGGGGGGGGGGAGAAGCAACCAGTATGTAAAATCACAGTTCTTGATTTCACCAAATCCTCTCTGTTGTCAGGCCTGTGAGTTTCGAAGCTTGAGATTTGGGGGCATCCCTTAATGTGAGCTTTATTTGTAAGCCCTCATGCTCAGACCGGGACTTTTTACGAGTAAACAAGCATAATATATATTCAGTTGGGCTTTTTGGGCCTTGAGAGACCCCGTCTTTCAACAACCTTGTACATTCTTCCTGTAGTTGCACTAGTAATCCCAGAGGACCTCTCTCTGCGCACCTAAACTTCTAGTCTTCTGCCTTTTATTATCAGAGTCAGAGTAGGATAGCCACGAATTGGCATTTGCATTGAATAAGGACAACAATCCCTTTAGAGGGCTTTTCTTGCTTGTTTGGTCAATTTACCAGACACGGAAGTCAGATAGACCACACGCTGCATACTTTCTTATCATATGGAGACCTTTTCTGTCCGTGTTAATAAAAAAGGATGAAAGCCGCGATCCTTGGCTGTACAAAGTTCTCTCTCTTATAGTGGACCAACGGACGGATCAAGACCAGTTGCGACAACCATCACAATGAGTCCTTCCCTTTATCTACCCCTTCTATGTGCCCTCTGCTCCTCCTTACTCGGTTGTTGCTGATTCATAAATATGGTTTCAGTATCCCGCTTACTTGCCTATCAGCCTTTATGTGCTTCTCTCCCTCTTGCGTCTCAAGGAAGGATGCTACTCTCTCGTCATCCACATCCATTGCATGAAATGTTTCTGAACCAAGCTGCACAATCACCTTCGACCTTCTACCCATACAATCATCCAGTTTAAACCAAAATGCTGTTTACTTACCAATATTTACAGCTTTCAGGTTCACGTCTGTGTCCCCTCCTGAACCTCATCCTCTAGCTTATGAAAAGGGTGTTGATCTAAGATTACAAAAGCTCACTTCAACCTGTATACAGCCCCTGGAAGTTATGATTCAGGTATGATGGCTGCTGATCTGTTATGATCTCATTACTGATTTAATTCCGAGAGTTCTTGAATTTTTTTTTCTGCTTTACATAGTTGGAAGGTTCTGGAAACTGGCCAATGGATGAAGTGGCAATTGAGAAGACTAAATCTGCTTTCCTTCTCAAAATTGGAGAAAGGTAGGTCCAGATTAAGTTGTCTTTATTTAAGAATAACTATGGACTTTTTAATTTCTCTGATAATGCTAGTTGACAGTCTCCAGAACAGCTGGGGAATGACATGCACTGCTACCGAAGATGATGTGGATGTCTTTGTGTCTGGATATGCATTTCGTCTCAAAATTTTGCATGAGAGAGGCCTAAGCTTGCTGAAAAAGCAAAGTAAGGAATTCTTTATTTTCATCATTGTACTCAAACCTTTCTGATGCAATAAATTTTCCATGAGCGGCCTAAGCTTGCTGAAAATGCAAAGTAAGAAATACTTTATTTTCATCATTGTACTCGGACCTTTCTGATGCAGTACTGAGTATTCTGATTTTCAGTTGCAAGCGATCAAGTGAAGCGGGTCTACTCTACTGATAGGAAGCTTTTTGTTCGCGGGCAGCATTCTAGTATGATTAATGGTTTGCAGGGGCGTTACCCAATATATGGACCAGTTGTTAGGTGAGATTTTGAGTTTATACTCTCTCGATTGCTTTCTCCCACTCTCTTAACTATGCATGTCTTGTTTGTTTATGTACATATGAAGGATCGCAAAACGTTGGGTTGCTGCACATCTTTTTTCCACTTCCTTGGTGGAGGAGGCAATTGAGCTGCTGGTTGCTTATCTCTTTTTGAAGCCTCTGCCTTTTTATGCTCCTTGCTCGCGAATTACAGGATTTCTAAGGTTGAGTTCTCTAGTTTCTGTTTATAACACATACATTGTGTAATGCACTCACCTCTCTCTCTCTCTCTCTCTCACACACACACACACACACACACACAAAATAAAAGCAGTTAAATCATGTGCATTTTATTATTCAGCTTTGATCTATGGTAGTTGTTAGTGTTTTTTTTTTCCTAGTTGGGACTCACACACACTGCCTCCACTGAGGTTCGAACCCCTGACTTTCCTTTAAGAAGTAGGAGCCTTGTACCGCTAGGCCAATGCCTGTTGGTAGTTGTTATTGTTGATTATTATCATAAAATGCGACCTCTGTGAACATTTGATATTATTCTGTTTTATGAATATTATTATTGCTTCTATTAGATTAGTTGTGTGTGTGTTTTTTTTTTTTTTTTTTTTTGAGGGGGGGGGGGGGGGGGGTTTTGTTGAATATGGTGAAGGGAGGGTGGGGGAGCTTGTGTTGCAATGGTGGCCTGGAATTTGATATTAGCAATGGTGATGTGAAAGTGGAGATAATTCCTCTTTATTTGGGGGAAAAGAAAAGTTGAAAACATTGGCAGTAGAGTGCACATTTTTTTTTTTTTTTGGTGAAAGTGGCAGTGGTGGATGCCACAACGTTAGTCACATGTTTCACACATGGGGGTGACATCTCACAAGCTCTACGCACGAATCAGCGACTTGAGCGCATTTGCCCCCAAATTGACGAATCCAATATTTTTTACTTCACATATTAGTTTTTCCAACCAGCAAACTCTGTGTGAATTTGCTATGTTCAATCAGAAACACAGCGTTATACTGCGTCACTGTGTCTTGCGAGTCAGCTATCTAACAATATATTTTAGTTCAAAAGCTCCACTTTTCAATCAGCCTACTATTTACTTTGAGCCACGTCCGATTGGCTGGATGATTGACAGATCTGATGATGCTGATTCTTTTTAGAATGATAAAAAGACTCAAGTTGAGAAAGGAATCTGTGACAATTAATAGGAAAAGCAAGTACTTTTGCCACTAATCCAATTTGCATTCTATGGTATTATTAGTGCTAGTTTGTTTGTTTGTTTTTTTTTTTAATCTGACAAAAACCCTTCATTTAGTTATATTATTGTAGACAAGCATAATTAAAAATGATCATAAATCTATAAACAGTTAATAGGATCATATATCATGTAGAGTAAATACATATATGGTCGTTGTATAGGGAGGCGCTCTATAGATGCTCCTCTATAAATATGTTAAATTTTGACGCTCTTGCTCTCTGCTCCTGCACCTGCTCCTGCGCTAGGTCAGAACTATGGTGGCAGTGTGGTCAACGCGAATAGCTTTAGCTGTCAGTTGGCAGTGCCTCATTTTGGCACTTGCAGTTCTGAAGCAGGGCATGTTGCAGTTGTGGTGGTGACATTATGTAGACAATAAATGGTTGTGGTACTACAAGGGGACAGGCTGGTGATAGTGAAGAATGTAGCTAAGATGGCGGTAGCCTGGTAGCTTGGAGCCTCCAGTATTGAGAAGCATTGATTCATATTATGATGTCTGTAATTGTTTTTCCTAGTATACGTGTATGTGTAATTGTGTATATGTGTTATATATAAACATGTCTATTTGCTTGTCCAACATGATTTCTTGTTCTGGTAAACTTGTATCGAATTGTACTTCTATTTTTATTGAAGTTCAATCTTAAATTCATATTTAATTTCTTGATTTTGCTATAACCAGATTGAACTTCCCTCAAGTGTGTATATATATATGTGTGTGTGTGTGTGTTTTTTTTTTTTTTTTTGGGTAAACAATTTCCCTGAAGTGTAGTGTATTGTTAATGCATATGTAAAGTAGGTGTAAAAAGGCTTTTGAGTTGAGTTGTCTTGAGTCGTATGTTGACTAGTTTGACAATTCAATTGTCTTCTTTTGCTTTTCTAAATTGAAAGAAAAATACTTCTGTTAACTTCAATTTTCTATATTTCAATTAGCAAACTTTTTTGTCTTTGAATAGGTGGATATGATTAATTTCTGTATGGGAAGTTATGACTGAATTCTAATTCTCCTAGTCTTTATAAGGATAACGAATGTTCATATTTTCTATACGTATTTGACAGGTTTTTGCGGTTACTGTCAGAGTATGACTGGACCTACTCTGCTTTAAATATTGATATAAATGGTGATTTGACTCCAGATGATGAAAAAGAGATCAATGTGAGTAACATAGTTTGAGTGATTAGTAACCAAAGTTATTTGTTGGTTAGATGACTATCATTTTTTCCCTCCTTTCTAACTGAACTACTTGCATTTTAATTGGATAGGAGAATTTTTTGTCAAGTAGAAAAGCTTATCAAGAAAGCACGCAAAATCTAAACCCGGCCATGTTCTTGGCCACAGCTTATGACAAGGCATCTGAAGCTTGGACTCGATCATCACCGAACTCCTCGGTGAGTAGCTCATTCATTCCGGATTAAGTCACAATCACTTATGGAATGAAGCTAATCATTCTTTCTTCACTTTTTGGTTAATTAGGATTACTATTTATCATTTGCTTTGCTATCACCTGTATAACAATTTTGCTGACATTTGGCTTTTCCTTTATGCTTGTACCATTTTATTTGACTAGATTATGCACCAATAAAAGTAAAAGGTAGTGAAGCAATAATAAAATCTCAAGTCATAAGCTAAAGCTATACATCAAGATGCAATCTATAACTTCAGTGCATGATAATGGCAAAATTTTGAACCTGTATGTCATTGGAAAAAATGCATAAATGAATTGGTTCAATTCAAAGGCACAAGGACGTTGTACTTGATCACAAATGTAAAGCTAACAGGTAAGCTAAATCATTTAAAGTTCAGGGCAACATCTTATGCCTCTTAGTATTCTGTAGAGGAATAATATGTAGCACGAGTAAAAAGAGCAGCATCTCTGTTATGCTTAGGGGGTTCGGGCAGTTGATGCGCGATCTAGTTATTTTATATGGTCTTCATAAATAACTGTTCCAGGACAACAGTTGGCACCTACTTTTGGATCTCAAAGGTGCATATGTAAACAATGAATGTTGATTAAAGATAAAGACAATAATCAAGTTCATCTCACAATTAAAATTTACAGTTTCTGAAATCTGAGGTATGGGGGTGTCAAAATTGTGTACTGATTAATCAATTATTCACATGGTATTCACCAAATAAATTAGTTCTAATGCTCAAGGTTTGTCGTATTTGATCGTGTAAAGTTGAAAAAGTATGGAAAATCTATCCAAATTCAAAATGCAGGATTTAGGATATTTGAATCTTTGTTGTGTGGAGTCCTCATTTTCCCTAAAGAACTCATGTCTACATGGTATATGTGGGTTGTGGGCAATGTTTACCGTGGAATAAGTATCTCAGAGCCATGGTGGATCTGGGAGGACAAAGAAGAAAGAGAAACATCTAAACTTCGTGCTGATTCATCGTCTCAAGAGGGTCATTGAATTATTGGATGGTCAATATTGTAGACCGGTCTTCTCGTGATTTGGACGAGGAAAACCAAGGGGTAATGTTTAATTTGGACTAATAGCATCTTCTTACTTTAATCGTTCTGCAAATATACCCCTTGTATTTTGGTATGCTGGTCTCCAAGATCCACCCTTCTGTTTAATTTATATTGCCGGACTTGCACCCTTGCTCTTGTTTTACTTGATAGGGCTGAAACAGTTCGGACATCTGAACACATTTAATACCCGACACCTGATCCAAGCTTAGTTAACATAGATGAATGTTGAATTAAGCAGCGATATGCTGATTAATTGACACGAATATCGTCTATCTGATCCTTTAGTGGCAGAGCCAACAATTAATCAATGCTGTTATTATGCTTGGATTCCCCACTAGTGGTTTAGCACTTATAATAGTATAATTACAACAGAGTGGGGATATTTTTATCAAATAAAAACGTTTTAAACCTTTTCACACTAAAAGTATTTTTGTTTATTAGAATTTGAGAAAGGACATTTACATGAGAATAAACAATCAAAAAGGAAAATTTTAAAATTAAATCTGGAAATATTTCTTGATTACCGACGGGGACTAATCGATTTGATTTATGTTTTTGGAAAAATCATAAATTATTGAGCATAGACTTGGGGTTGGCTTGAGCTTTGCACATAGTCATGAAGGTTATTGTTCTGTTTTAGCTAGTGATTGTAAAATTTACTGATAAGAGGTAAAGTGCAGCGCTTAGTTGATCAGCTATGAATCCCTTTTTTGATCTTGTTCAAAGGAAACCAGCTTACTTGCTTGCACTTTAAACCTACATCGCAGTATTTTATAGTTTGTTTGTATGGATAGAGTGCTTTGCTGCCTTTTTTGTTCACAATTGACATTTGGTTACTGTTAATGTAAAGGAGCTGAGACGACTGGTGGCCTATGCACGAAGCAGTGCAAATTTGTTGACCACACTCATTTTGCGTGATCAGGTTGATGCGTACAGATGGGAGGTGAGTGAGACATATTGCGTGTTATTTTGCCGATGGTTTTGCTTATATTTGTAGTACTGACAAATAACCTTTATGTGATTTGGGTTGCAGTGCCTTCTCCGAACTCCTTTAAACAATTACAACGCTGTTATCCTTCTCCACAGGGACAGATTACCTTACCCCCAACGGCTTCTCTTTCCCTCTGAAATGAACCAAGGTATTATTCTTTGGAATGTAATGTTAATTATCTAGTTATAACCCCCTCCTCCCTCTTTTTCTTTTTCTCTCTCGCCATTGTTTTGGTATTAGAACTCGCATAAGGTGATACTTATAAAGTCCCATAACTTGACATATCTCGTAGGGAGGCATGTGGTCCGCGGAAATGCTAGCAAGAACTTCCATCCCTTCATTTTACCCGTTGGCACAAACGGGAGCTTAGAGGAGTTGAGGAGCTTAGAGGAGTTGAAAGATAAGTTGATGGTAGACTTCGATCCACAGAGATATTTTGTGGGGGATCTGGAGGCAAGTTTTACGAGAAAAAAAAAAAAAAAAAACTCTTTGATATTAAATTCCACCATCAATGCTTTTCTTGCTGATTTTTTTCTACAATATTTGTAGAAAGCGTTCCCTAGCACGTTCAAGGTTTGGTATGATTCCGTGGGGGGTGATGCTATAGGTTTGACATTGGAGAGATCTTGTTCCAAGGTATATTTAGATATTTATCATCAAATTTCGTTCTTTAGCAGTTGACAATTGCTTGTAACCTTAATCCATCCTCCTTTTCTGCAGAAGCGGGGACGAGAGGAAGAAGAAAAAGATTTGATTGACATGCTAAAAACTGTTGGTGAGGTCGGGAAAGGGTTTGTGAGGAGTATTTATTTTCTTAAAGCACCGAGGTTGAGTAATTAGAAGATATTATATAATTACTTTTTTCTCCCTATGTTGTAAGCTTATTATATTTACTTTTTAAAATTTTGTCGAAAATTGGCGATTTTCTTGGCCGCAATTTTTGAGAAGTATAGGCATACCATGCAAAGTTACAAAAGAAGAAAGCCTGTTCTGTTGAGAATACAGCATTGTAATATTGCCAATTTTTATTTTTATTTTTATTTTTTATTTTTTTGTAATTTCAAAGTTCGTTTAGCTGTTCAGAAGTACAAAGTTTTTGGTGAGTTAGCAGAGAAGTGATCCAAAGGTTTTCATTTTGAGGTCACTAATGGAGTTGAATTATTGATTAATTGTTGTTGATTATGTTGCATTCTCAATTTAATTACTCCCTTATATTTTACATGTCCACCTGTATCACATGAAACCATGTAAGGTAGATGAAGTTTTCTGTAATTTTGAGAAGAACTGAAATTAGGAAGCTGCACATGGACCTACTTTGTGAAGGCGAGTTTTTAAAATTTTTTTACTGTATTAATAAGAGTGATTTTTTTCTTATATTGATAAGAGTGAATTTTCAACTTTATCTTTGTTAAAAGAGTGTCGGAATTAGTGCACTTGTTCGGGAATGTTACAAATAATTAATACATTTATTTTTAAATGAAAATTATATTTTGTGACACCTCAAAATAAATAAAAATATGAACAAAAATTTTGAGAGTATATGATTGAACGTTAACACATTCCTACCGACTAACAAAAATCTTACTAGGCAACCTAGGAAGAGTAATGCCATTCCAAATGGCTTATGGTGGGGCACAATACAGGGGATCATTTATTCAACAACAAAAAAATTCATTCGAATAAACGATGTCGCCCAAACCACGCTTATCAAGCTCAGTAGTCACACTACTGCTCCACCCACTCTCTCAAAGTATGAAATAGCGACGGTGTTTTGAATTTCTCTCAAACGAGCATTGATTTTGCGAGCATTGATTTTGCGATATTTTCAGGCAAAACTTGGATTTTTCTGCTGAAGGTCGATAATTTTGTTCCGACTTTCATCCAAATCCATGAAATTAAATAAATCATAACCTAATTGGTTTCACTATTTCTTCCCAGTAGTGAAGTAATCATCGATCTGTTCCTATTTTCTGTTGCTTTGTATTTTTCGATCCCGTGATTTATAGCATTGATGGGGCTTCTAAGTATCATCCGGAAAATCAAGCGGAAAGAGAAAGAAATGCGAATTCTTATGGTGTATGTATGCCTATTATCTCTACCTTGCATTTTATGTGTGTGTGTGTGAATATATATATATATATGTACGCATATGTTATGATGAATAATTATTTTTGTTGCAGGGGTCTTGATAACTCAGGAAAAACTACGATTGTTCTGAAAATTAATGGAGAGGACACAAGCGTAATCAGTCCCACGCTGGGTTTCAACATCAAGACCATCACTTATGACAAGTCAGCTTCCTTCTTCTGCCTTCATTTTCTAGTTTTAGTTCTATCTTAATTCATCTGGTTAGAAGAGTAAAATTTGTTAAAGTCTGTAATGTGAAATCATTGTTTGACCTAATTGGCTACTAATTTGAATCCATTGGTAACACGAATTAGTCTGATTATAGTAGTTTAGGTTTTGGTTCATATTAGCTTCAATCTACTTTTTGGCTTGATTAACTGATTTTGAATGCTAAATGTTGGAATTATTATTATTATTATTTTTTTCAAAATTTGTTTTGAATTAGTTTATTATCATTGTGGAAAATGTGCATTTTTATATTCAACTTGGTAGTGAGTTCGTTTTGTTAAGTTGGGTGCTTCATTGATGATAATTTTGGAGTTTTGGGATTTTTTAAAGTATTCTTTTTATGAAGAGGACTTTGAGTTTGAGATTTGAATTGATATGTTCATGGCAGGTATACCCTTAATATATGGGATGTTGGAGGGCAAAGGACAATAAGGTCTTATTGGAGAAACTATTTTGAGCAAACGGATGGTTTGGTATGGGTTGTTGATAGCTCGGATCTTAGGAGGCTGGACGATTGCAAACTCGAGCTGGATAATCTTTTGAAAGAAGAGGTATTTTCATTTCCGATTCTCTTCTTCTCTTGTGCTACAATCTCCTTTTGCAAATTAGTAGACAAAGGAAAGATATGGACACCTATATTACACGGACTCTTAAAAATTGCATGAAGTACCTGTATCAGACATGCGGCACTGAGACATAAGTATCGAATATGTGTCTGATACAGCTGGTGGTTGGTCATGCACCTCCAAGCATCGCCATAATTCAAGTTTATCATATAATTGTACTTAAAACTCCCCTATTATGTTCTTTCTGTTTCATCAGTGCTTTGGCAAGAGTGAAATGACTATATTGAACATTTTATATCCCAATAATTTTTATATTTTGATTGTATAGTGTATACCTTCTGTGCACACAACAAAAAAAGACATATTTTTACTCTTTAAAAAAAAGAACAAATATCATCTAGTGTGAATATTTAGTTGTGTCCCAATATCCCGCATCCTTGGGTCTGGAAATTTGATAGGTTCGAGCTTAGACATGCACATGCACCTGACGCACATATCTCAGTCCATGTCACATAAACATGACATAAATAATGTAGTAATGGGTTAGGATTAGAAAGTAATTGTTTATGATTTCAATTGTTTTTTTTTAATTGTTTATGATTTCAATTGTTTTTTTTCTTCTCTCTTTTCTAACGACTGCTAAACTCCTGGTGGTTAAACTATGCATTAATATTTTCTATTTATTATATCTGCACTTCTCTTTTAAATGTTGATTCATATGGACACGTTATTGTTTAGTATGGCGTTAATCCTGAAATGAAGAACATGAGAAATTATGGTGGAGGATTGTGGCCTTATTAGAGATGTCTGTACCATATAATTTTAATTCACAAATACTTCAAGAACACCTTAAAGCATTGAGGATTGTTTTAAAAAAATATTTTTGATTCCCCAAATTATGTTGAGTAACTTCAGAATGATGATAAATGTGTTGATTGTTTTTTTCCTAACATTTATTCTTGAGTAACCTCCAGATCAGCTAGCAAATTTTTTCCTTTCCTCTGGTTCTCAAAGCCTTCTTTACTGACAATGGTCACAATGCTGGGAACACCACCTATCATGGAACATCTTTGATAAACAAATTTGAATCACGAGAAAAAGAGCATCATGCTGTGAAAACATAATGTTATGGGGGTTACAACGATGTCCTTTCTTTGATATCTATTTATTTATTTACTTTTTTGGTGTTGGGGTCCAGTAATCTTCAGCCAAGGCACTCCCAATGGGATGTTGGCTCGAAAACAGGTTTGCTACCATAGATAAATTTAGTCTTTCTGAAAGACTAGTAATTTTATTACTTTGTCATCAAGTTTAGTCATTCTTCTTTTCCAATTATTGTATACTCTCGAAAGGATTCTAGATTCTATCCATAACCAATTTTGAGGTGACAGCGAGTGACAAATATCCTAGATGAATTTCCAGTACCAGGATATATCTCCCCAACAATAATCTATCTAAGTAGGACTTATGAAGCCATAAAAAACACTCCAAGAGCATGGAAGACCTGATTGTAGTTGTTTGCGTTAGAACTCCGGATTAGTGCATCTTTGGATTGATATATTGGCGCTTTGATTTTGCAATTAATTTTCTGGACCCAAAGATTTGTCTTATCTTTGCATTTATTGACCATGATTCAACTAGTTATCTGTGTAGGCATGGCTTTGAACTTTGAAGTGCATGATTGTCCCATTGAAGGTTGAATCTTGATTTAAATTGCTGTATATCCTGGACCCTTTCATTTTCCTTCATCGATTTTTCATGGTGCAAACGGAACACTTGCGGTTATACTTTATGATCTTTATTGCCTTCATTTAGCTGTCTGCAATACTAAAATTAATACTCCCTCCATTCCAAAATAACTGTCCACCTTTTCATTTTTATCCGTCTCAAGATAAGTGTCCCATTTGAAAAGTTCAGTGTACTGTTTTTGGTAATATTAACAATTTAACTTTCTTGCATTGAACCTATAAAAAGTAAAACATCACATCACTTAGAGATGCTTTGATAAAAAATCATAACAAAAAACTAGAAGTAATACAATAAAAAATAATAAAAATCATTTTCTTAAAAAGTTAGATTCCCGAAAAGGGACAGTTATTTTGCAAACGGAGGGAGTATTTTACAAGAGCTTACTTTTCTGTTGTTACTACAGAGGCTATCAGGAGCATCACTACTGATTCTAGCAAATAAGCAGGACATACAGGGTGCTCTCACACCAGATGAACTAGCAAAAGTAAGGATTCTAATCGAATTTACCTTGTATATTTGCTTAACACTTTCTTTGCTACTAATGAAACATTAAATTTGAACATTGAATGCTCAATTTCTTGAGGAAACAAAAATAATTTTATACCGTTGAAATTTTCATCCCTATTATTTTGGTTCCTTGTTACTTGTTATATATGTTTTTGAAACGGTCACTTCTTCATTAAAATCTGTGGTGAAACTGGGGTAGTAGCATCAAAAGCTTCTTCATCCATGCATGTAGAAAATATGAGGTTGAGATTGATTGGGACCATCTCGCGGGGAATTCTTATTGAGATAGAGCATGTGTAATATATAAATTATTCTTAATAAATAAATTGTGATTATTTTTCAATGTAAATGGATCTCATATTATCCCAATGCAGTATGTTATTGTTAAAAAAAAGTTGCAGTATGTTATAGAGTAGTTCACTTTATATGGTTGTTTCCATATGTAATTGTATATGTGGTGTTGTGATTCGAATTTGGTTCCGGGTTCCCCGTTGATTGAGCTTTGTGTGGGTCTCTTTTTTATTACAAAAAAGAGAGAGTGAGTAGGAGTGAGAGCTAGGGTTTGGAGAATCTTCATATTTTCGTATAGTGAATTCTTTCGCTAGATCTTTACCGAGGATGTAAACTTTGCCGAACCACATTCTTTATGTTTGACGTGTTTATTTTTGTCGTGATTTGTAATTGTTTCCTGGATTCGTTTGTCGTAGCAATATATAATAATAATCAAGCCTCTACTTGGAGGTGGGCGACACGAGTCATATGTTTGCATTACACGGTCTCTTAGCAAAAAAAAAAAGAAAAAGAAAATTGTGTCAGATGACTCAGATACCTTTGGTCTGAAAGTGAATTGTTCGTAGAAGGAATTCGAATTCATTGAATAATACAGTAAAACTATTATCACACTTTTGCAGGTGCTCAACTTGGAAGCCATGGATAAAACCCGGCACTGGAAAATTGTTGGCTGTAGTGCTTACACTGGAGAGGGGCTGCTCGAGGGACTTGATTGGTTGGTTCAGGACATCGCCTCTCGAATCTACATGCTAGATTAAGTCATTGTAATCATGTGTTTTGTTGACATTTTGTTAAATTCATATTTTCGCATCAATACTATTGCAAATGTAAAACCAGAAAACTTGCCTGTAAACTCTGTTATCTGTTTAATTATCTTTTTTGGTTGGTGAAATTAATTGACCTCTCCCATACAAACTTTTGTTACACGGTAAAAGTGACAAAAACAATTAATAAATGTATAAAACTTTAACAGATCTCATTTGTCATTTTTTTCATATACACTACATACACGGAAACTGATAATACGTTTCTGTTTGCTGGCTCAAGCAAGACTGCTGCACAAAACTTCAAAGAACGCGTTCCTCTTCGCGACTGAACCCGCCTGCTGCACAAAACTTCAAAAAACGCGTTCCTTCTTCGCGACTGAACCCTGCTGGACGCACCTATCTGCCTCCTAATTAGTTTCTCTAATATATCAAATAATATTGTTACAACATATGCTTCAACAAACTAACATTATAAAATCTGAGCATTTTCACTTTGTCAAATAAAAGAATAGTTGATTAAATAAATAATGTTATGTTCATCCAAAGTTATGTTTGGCAGTATCATGCAATAGCCATTAAAATGCATTTCAAATGTGTGACACATAAATGCATTGTTGGTGTGTTTTGAAGCATTCAAATTGGAGAAAAAAACTTGCTAGTCAGTCGTCAAAGAAAACGTAGAGCCTACCATGTTTTTTTGCCTGATGTAATTGTCACACTTTTTGTTTTTAGGAGAAAAACAAAATATTACAAACCGTACTCCAACTCGGATACCTAAAAAGATGAGAAGTGAAAAAAATTCAAATATATGAAGCACCAAACATACTTCAAACAGTACCACTCTGAGATGTTGACATGTATGGGAATTAAACATATGCTCATTTTAGAAGTAACCTCACCAAATATGCGGATGTATTACTTTGTTATTGAAAAAGGAGAATGGGAATCTAAGTTGCTCCAAAATTTTAAAAGATTTTACAAAATCATAATTTCAGTTAATATTGAATTATTGAATTAATAATTTATAAAAATAATTATAGCTAGACATGCTTAACCAAACTACAATTCGGACGGCGAAATAGAGAAGAGAATTTTTTTTTTTGTATGAAAAAAATATTAAATAATATTTATGTAGCAGAAAATACTTGAGGGTCGATGAACAAAATAATAATAAAAAAAGACCTTAAGTTAGAGATTCTCTTTTCTCACATTCTGTTAAAATATATTTTTTTGTATAAAATATACATTGTCATGTATGATGTGTAAATTTGTATAATTTTTTTTTTTTTATGTTTAATAGTTTGTTAAGATACACTGTCACATCATCAATATGTACACAGTCATTTTACACAATCACATCACCATATTTCATTTCTCTTCTCTGTTTTGCATCTCATTAATAAATCAACCCTATATTAACTAAGTTTGTAAAAATTATCCTTAATCTAATTTCTATATTTGTATGTCTCATATATTTTGTATTTGGTTTGAGAGTGCCGCATGTATAATTCAGTGTAAGATAATATTTCAGGAGGACCACCTCGGTCTGAGGAGAGCGGTAATATTAGTAGTAACTTTTATGCCTTGTTTTGTCGGTTTTACTTATTTTATGTCCAAATGTAAGAACCTGTTGGAGGATAGAAATGATCACACGAACAAATTGGACCAGTTAGGAGATGGATCCCTTAATACAGTAATGCTCGAGTACTTTCGAACAGTAAATTATTGTGTTCCAGTACATATATATATATATATGGACTGAAGTAAAAAGCAGGTAAGCCTTCAATGGAATCTAGGTTAGATTGTGGAGATTTTTTGAGTTCCTTATTATGTCTTACTTATGTCTGCATATGACGTTTATGGTTGCTGTTGAATAACAATATTTCAGGAACAGGGAAAAATCTCGTGAGAGGGGAAGATAGAGAGAGAGAGAGAACGGGAGAAGTCTCGTGAACGCTCCCATGACAAGCCAAGGGATCGTGATCTTAAAGAGGATGGGCACCACAGAGACCGGGACAGGAACCGGGACAAGGAGAGAGAGCGAGGTCGTGATGGTGACCGTGATCGCGATTATGAGCGTTCACGTGATGGAGAATACGATCGATCACGGTGAAAAGGAGTCTAACTATGATCCTGCTGAGGCAGAGGATGATCCTGGTTGGTATGAAGAGTCTGGACATGGGCATAGGCGTCCAAAAGCTGAATACTATGAACATCAAAGGCCGGCGTCAATATGATAAGATGGATACGAATACTAGGGATATTATGGTGCCTCTAAACTTCCAGCTTGATCGGTGAGGAGACAGATGTTTGCCTTGTGCTCCCTTTTTTCTGTTTGATATTGTTCTCATTAGAACATATTTTGATATCTTATTGTCTTTGGTACTCCTCTTACCATTTTTTGAAAATGGAGCGAATGAATAATTGTGGTAACATTTGAAATTGCTTTTTTTTTTTTTTTTTTTAATCAGTGTCTGTATTGTGCAGACAGACTATCTCTCAAAAACCTTAGATTGATTAATGTCAATGTAGCTAACAGAGCATGTCTCAAAAACCTTCAAAAACTCGCTTTCCTTACTCTACTACAAGCTGCTAAGAGGTCGTCTCTCTAGCCTGAAGTTAACTCGGAATAGACTTATTAAGACATAATTACTGATCTCGGTTCCTTCGAGCTTCTCAGATGGCCTTCCTCTTAGCAACTCTCCCTTTCGGGATAAGTTCCCCAACTCCACCAATTCCCATCGACTCTTCTCTTTTATAAAAGAAACCTATATTATTATTACAAAAAAGAAAAATTTTAAAAGCGTTAATAAACTTGTAAAACATATATTCTAAAATTAAAAATTAAGATTCGAAGTCTTTAATTCCCATTAGTATATTAGCAATATTATATATTTGTACGTAGAAACAAAAACAAAAACAAAAACAAAAAATCAATATGTAAAACATAAATAAATAAACGTAACCAATAACTAAAAATGCCAATTAAAATTTTAGAAAAGTCAGAGTTGGTTACCTGATGACTGAGGATGCATGTTTCTTAAACCTTATTTTTGTCAAATATTTAGGCCCGATGCTAATCCTAAAAATAAGAAAACATTCAAGTTGTGAAGAAGAGGTTTCACAATCTCACTCATAACATTTAAAACACCACCATGTAAGTACTATCTGTATCATGTATCAACCCAACCCAACCCAACTATGCTATCAGTCAAAATTTTGGACACCTATCCTTAGAAAGAGGTGTGATTAGTACACATATATTATATTCAGCTCTTATATTAAATTAATTCAATAACAAAATTCAATGCATCAGTTTAGGAATAATCTTCAAAATTAACAAATCAAAATCTTAATATTCTGTATTCTAATAAGAAAAGAAAATCAAAAACCAAAATTTGAAAATAAAAATATGGTAGAAAGATTGAATATTTATTACACAGATTGTATTTCTATGTGAAACAAAACATCCAGGTGAGCTAAATCAAAATATATCAACCAACTCTGACTTGCATGTCTCAAAAACCTTCAAAAACTCGCTTTCCTTACTCTACTACAAGCTGCTAAGAGGTCGTCTCTCTAGCCTGAAGTTAACTCGGAATAGACTCATTAAGACATAATTACTGATCTGGGTTCCTTCGATGGCCTTCCTCTTAGCAATTATCCCTTTCGGGATAAGTTCCCCAACCCCACCCATTCCCATCAACTCTTCTCTTTTATAAAAGAAACCTATATTATTATTACAAAAAAGAAAAAATTTTAAAATCGTTAATAGACTTGTAAAACATATATTCTGAAATTAAAATTTAAGATTCGAAGTCTTTAATTCCCATTAGTATATTAGCAATATTATATATATACGTATGTAGAAATAAAAACAAAAACAAAAAATCAATATGTAAAACATAAATAAATAAACGTAACCAATAACTAAAAATGCCAATTAAAATTTTAGAAAAGTCAGAGTTGGTTACCTGATGACTGAGGATGCATGTTTCTTAAACCTTATTTTTGTTAAATATTTAGGCTCGATGCTAATCCTAAAAATAAGAAAACATTCAAGTTGTGAAGAAGAGGTTTCACAATCTCACTCATAACATTTAAAACACCACCATGTAAGTACTATCTGTATCATGTATCAACCCAACCCAACCCAACTATGCTATCAGTCAAAATTTTGGACACCTATCCTTAGAAAGAGGTGTGATTAGTACACATATATTATATTCAGCTCTTATGTTAAATTAATTCAATAACAAAATTCAATGCATCAGTTTAGGAATAATCTTCAAAATTAACAAATCAAAATCTTAATATTCTGTATTCTAATAAGAAAAGAAAATCAAAAACCAAAATATGAAAATAAAAATATGGTAGAAAGATTGAATATTTATTACACAGATTGTATTTCTATGTGAAGCAAAACATCCAGGTGAGCTAAATCAAAATATATCAACCAAAATGTTAACTAACAATGTTTCTTTAGACAATTGACTGATTAAGGCCTAGAAAATCCTATTTGGGTTATTAATAAAAAAATTACCAATTTATTTCTAAACAATTCGCCACTCAATATCCTATCTCTTCTTTTGACCAATTTACTAATCCTATTTGAGAATCTACTAGTGGAAGCAGAGGGTGAGGTAGTTCATGGCAAGCCCCTTCCAACATTATGATTTGCCCTAAAACTATTGATACACATATATATATATGTATGGGCAAAAACAACCAACCAGTCAAATGGTCATATATACTGGTCAAAAAGTAGGTTTGGTACTGGAGTTGTAGGATCTGGCTGATTTGAATCTGATACGGTAATAATTATATTTTGTTTGGAGTTTCGACCATTTGACTGGTTAGTTGAAATGATTTGCCCTAAATATATATATATATATATATATATATATATTTTTGGTGTCCCATCATCGGAGGCTCCATAAATTTTGAAGCCCTAGGCGACCGCATTTGTCACCTTGGGTCAGGACCAACCCTGGGCTTATTACGATTGGGCCTTTATTTTAGTACGGTGACTGAGTTGACTTGAGTTTGATTGGGTAGACTAATTTTGAGGTGGGCTAATACTTTTAATAAACAAATTTGTTGTATTGGTCAACAAAAATTTATT